ATAATGCAATGTGTGTTGTGTATATGCACAGTGACATATTAACCGTAATGAAATGTTTGTTGTGTATATGCACAGTGACATATTAACCATAATGCAATGTGTGTTGGGTATATGCACAGTGACATACTTCCTGTAATGCAATCTGTGTTGGGTATATGCACAGTGACATATTAACCGTAATGCAATTTGTGTTGGGTATATGCACAGTGACATATTAACCGTAATGCAATTTGTGTTGGGTATATGCACAGTGACATATTAACCGTAATGCAATGTGTGTTGTGTATATGCACAGTGACATATTAAACGTAATGGAATTTGTGTTGTGTATATGCACAGTGACATATTAACCATGATGCAATTTGTGTTGGGTATATGCACAGTGACATATTTCCTGTAATGCAATGTGTGTTGTGTATATGCACAGTGAGATATTAAACGTAATGCAATGTGTGTTGTGTATATGCACAGTGACATATTAAACGTAATGCAATTTGTGTGGTTATATGCACAGTGACATATTAACCGTAATGAAATGTGTGTTGTGTATATGCACAGTGACATATTAACCATAATGCAATGTGTGTTGGTTATATGCACAGTGACATATTAACCGTAATGAAATGTGTGTTGTGTATATGCACAGTGACATATTAACCATAATGCAATTTGTGTTGGGTATATGCACAGTGACATATTTCCTGTAATGCAATGTGTGTTGTGTATATGCACAGTGACATATTAAACGTAATGCAATGTGTGTTGTATATATGCACAGTGACATATTAAACGTAATGCAATTTGTGTTGGGTATATGCACAGTGACATATTTCCTGTAATGCAATGTGTGTTGTGTATACGGACAGTGACATATTTCCCGTAATGCAATGTGTGTTGTGTATATGCACTGTGACATGTTTCCCGTAATATAATGTGAGTTGGGTATATGCACAGTGACATATTAACCGTAATGCAATTTGTGTTGGGTATATGCACAGTGACATATTTCCTGTAATGCAATGTGTGTTGTGTATATGCACAGTGACATATTTCCTGTAATGCAATGTGTGTTGTGTATATGCACAGTGACATATTAAGCGTAATGCAATTTGTGTTGTGTACATGCCCGTGACATATTTCCCGTAATGCAATGTGTGTTGTGTATATGCACAGTGACATATTAACCATAATGTAATGTGTGTTGTGTATATACACACTGACATATTAACCATAATGCAATGTGTGTTGGTTATATGCACAGTGACATATTAACCGTAATGAAATGTGTGTTGTGTATATGCACAGTGACATATTAACCATAATGCAATGTGTGTTGTGTATATGCACAGTGACATATTAACCGTAATGCAATGTGTGTTGGGTATATGCACAGTGACATATTAACCGTAATGCAATGTGTGTTGTGTATATGCACAGTGACATATTAACCGTAATGCAATGTGTGTTGGGTATATGCACAGTGACATATTTCCCGTAATGCAATGTGTGTTGAGTACATGCGCAGTGACATATTTCCCGTAATGCAATGTGTGTTGGGTATATGCACAGTGACATATTTCCCGTAATGCAATGTGTGTTGGGTATGTGCACAGTGACATATTTCCCGTAATGCAATGTGTGTTGTGTATATGCACAGTGACATATTAACCGTAATGCAATATGTGTTGTGTATATGCACAGTGACATATTTCCCGTAATGCAATATGTGTTGGGTATATGCACACTGACATATTTCCCGTAATGCAATATGTGTTGGGTATATGCACAGTGACATATTTCCCGTAATGCAATGTGTGTTGGGTATATACACAGTGACATATTTCCCGTAATGCAATATGTGTTGGGTATATGCACAGTGACATATTTCCCGTAACGCAATGTGTGTTGGGTATATACACAGTGACATATTTCCCGTAATGCAATATGTGTTGGGTATATGCACAGTGACATATTTCCCGTAATGCAATGTGTGTTGAGTACATGTGCAGTGACATATTTCCCGTAATGCAATGTGTGTTGTGTATTTGCACAGTAACATATTTCCCGTAATGCAATATGTATTGTGTATATGCACAGTGACATATTTCCCGTAATGCAATGTGTGTTGAGTACATGCCCAGTGACATATTTCCCGTAATGCAATGTGTGTTGTGTATATGCACAGTGACATATTTCCTGTAATGCAATGTGTGTTGGGTATATGCACAGTGACATATTGACCATAATGCAATGTGTGTTGGATATATGCACAGTGACATGTTAACCGTAATGCTATGTGTGTTGTGTATATGCACAGTGACATATTAACCAAAGTGCAATATGTGTTGGGTATATGCACAATGACATATTTCCAGTAATGTAATGTGTGTTAGGTATATGCACAGTGACATATTTCCCGTAATGCAATGTGTGTTGGGTATATGCGCAGTGACATATTTTCCGTAATGTAATGAGTTTTGGATCGCAGCATGGTGTCCGCACTGTAATGCGTGCAGAATCAATTATTTGGACATGTTATCATCTCTTTCGGGTTACAACCAACAATGTTGGTGCTCATCAGAAAGGTAAGGTAGTGTATACTGCTTCACCTGACGTTTTAAATTACAGGAACCGGAAATACGAAGAAGATTTAATGAACAAGCTGTGGAAGATAAACTTTTACGATATACAGTTCACGGATACCGGAAGTAAGACGCATTTCGGGAGCAAAATCAGTCACAGTAGCAAGGTATGTTCAAAATTAAAATAATCCGATAATATCTGGTTACGTTAACTTGTAAATTTACCCATACACAGTTATTGTTGTACAATTATGTTTGTATCTTGAAACCATCTGATTGTATCTAACTGTTAAATAGAAACGTGAAGAGCATACACGTGATACTGGTTTTAACTCTATATTGATGCATTAAAGGATGAACATGATAAAGTTTACGACGTGGCCAGTTGCTCAATATGTCTTGCATTTACAGTCGATCAACGAGGATCTCGGATTCCGTCGAATATGTCAATGTAATTAAAACGATCAATTACTGTTGTAAATAAATTCCATTGCTATCCACTGTCAGCTTAAAATATTTCAATGTCATCTGTCTAAATGTGAAACATACCTACAATCTCCGATTTAAAAGATTGTTAGATGACATGGCAATGCCTGTGACAGTGTACTTATCCTTTCCACAGCTTATTTGATTTGTGGGAAACTGTAAGCTATTACACCGTGATCAATTCACACTTTGTATGACAAGTTTCATATTCCGATCTTCTAAATAAACACAACCTCCCATTACGCCGCTAAATAAGACCCTGAAATATGAACTTATAAACCTTAATTAATTAAATAAAGTCGCTATCATCACTAATATCGACTCTGTGTTCAATACATTGATGGAAATAACAACAAAACGCGAGATATAAAACAATCATAGAGTTTCTATCAGGGGTAAATTATCTTCTCTCTGGGTTCTCCACACTTGCCAGGGGGGAATCTCGTCTCGTCTCTCTATCGCGTCCCCTTGAGGTGCAGGATCGGGGAAGTCACTAATACTTTACAGTCAAATAAGACAAGCACAACGAAATACGTTTCAACTCTCGTCTTAGTCGGTCTCTGGAGCACTCTATAAGACACAGCGCCCTTGGGAAAAGTCCCCAAGACTATCGCAAGGCTGACCCAAGACTCTCTTAGACTGCGTCAACCCTCGCCCCAAGGCTCTCCAGGACTGGACTCTTAGACTGCGTCTCTCGTGGAGTACTTGCCAAGACCAACTCAAAACTCTCTTTATTCATTTTCAAAACTCTAACCAATTACAAAACAGTAAAAAGACTCTAGGGCGTAACCTTCAATCATAAAGCCAATCAAACTAAGTACTGAATACGTCATATCTTTTGATTAATCGTTCACTACATTAATAACTACGGATACCAACTGTCAGAAATCGTAGTTAGAATAGCGACGGTTATCTCGTAATTAGTTCCAAATCACTGAGCCAAGTTCCGTCTAAAACTTCAAATAGGCCTAAACGATGACAGACATAACACAGCAATTCGCTAATAATCAGCTAATTAAGTCGATTAACAGATACGCGTAAACAAATTCATGACATTTCTATGATGTTTTTTTGTTGTCGTCATTATTTCTATTGTTGCGAATAGGAATATTCTTCTGCTATGTAGGTCATTTAATATTCATAATAAGCCCAATATCTGACAGTGACTCAGCAATAGTTGAGACAGAACTGATTGCAATTTATACAATTTATTGTGGATGTTGTTTTTTTATGGTCGGAAGTAAAGTCAGTTTTATATATATAATGGAAAAAAAAAAACATCTGCTGCAACAGACGCCATGCTACAATTTTAGATAGTCAGATTAACGTCATCATATCCGACTTGGTTTGTTATCTTAACAAATCAATACTCATAACTGCATATCAATGTCAGAATAACTTTTCAGCTGTTCAATGCATGCGTCATCTAAACAGAGGTTATATCGTATTTAATGTCAATTTTGCTGCGGTTTGAGATTTACGGCACTTTTACTGTCAACTACGTAAATCTACACGTGAAAAATGACATAGCTAGCGGCGTAAGGACCACATACCGGTGTGCGTTCTACTAAATAGCAATGATAACACTGTAGAATAATTGCACTTCCAACATTATTCATTTATAGTACAAGTTGTGGTCGTAAAAACTGTTTGGTCTGATTTATTTCAACACTTTTGATATGTGCCGATATTTGTGCGTTTTATTTGAACAGTTTAGTAACGACACCGCTGTCCAGAGCACAACTAATTCACATGAAGGTGCACAGATGTTTACTCGCGTGGGTCGTTATCAAAGTAATCTGGTAGCCATAAAACCTGTACGAAAGAAGAGCGTTCATATCACACGGGAGCTGTTAATGGAATTCAAGGAGGTCAGTGCTCCCTAGCAATGTTCGTCACCAACATTGTTTTCATATTTGAATTCTGGACATCTTGTATTATGTTTAACTGTTGCAAATGAGAAACATTTTATTGATTATAATTTTTCAACTGACTTAACAATTTTGTTGCCTTGGCTAACAAAGCGTACTGACGACATTATTTGAATCGTTATCAAGTTACCAACAATTAAATGCGATAGAATTAAATAAATTGAATAAACACTTCCGTTATTGGTCGTATTCGTTTAGTAGTTATAGATTCAATATTTTACAAAATGTTTGCAAACTGGTTTATGAGTGAAATGTGTTTATATGGCCAATAGAGAAGGTAATACATGCCTGACAGCGTCCATTTGTTGATTCTGAAACAACTAGCACTGGAATTGTTGGAAAATATAATGGACTCTCTGCATAGTTTTTATGATTTTAGTAAATCAATCTGAGATCTACTAGAACTGAAGAATGCCAAACGCTTCCCTTGTGGTTTCCGAATCATTGCGCACGGTTTCTAGAAAATTAAGTGTGGTACGAGTCATTTCAATCATGTGAAGTATAATATAGATGGACGTGTCTAGCACCTATAAAGAAGGTAGCATTCACAAACGATATGATCCTAAATAAATGTTTCCGTCACATTGACACATGATTTATTTGTATTTGATTTACAAATCGATTTGACAATAATGAATAACTGGATATGTTAAATGTGTTAACTGAGCTCTCATTATAGAAATATAATCATCATGCGCCGAGCCCATGATTCGTCTCGCTTATAGCTACGCGATTTAATTACAACTTTCACGCCGAGATCCCATTGAAAGTGAGACAGGCACGTGATTTGTTTCTGTCCATCAAATATCAACGTTTCTACACGTGGTATTTGGAACAGTGGAAGGAGACCAGAAACAACATTTAAGGTGGGGGGGGGGGGGGCTCTGTCACTCCGAACGAGATTTGCATATAAACTTAAACACATGTTCCGTTTCACTTTTAGCCTACGGGATTTGCGACATGCCAATATAAACCAATTCGTGGGTGCGTGCGTGGACGCTCCCGAGATTTGTATTGTAACACACTACTGTAGTAAAGGCAGTCTACAGGTAAGTCACGAGATGACATATCGCGAAGAGAGCTCATCGTCGTTTAATAGATTTAATTCTGTATGGCTTGCACAGTGGGAGTATGGTTCTAATATCCGGCCACGACAAGGCTTTTAAGAAGTACTGGTCAAATTAAATTATTACTAATTACAATAGGCCTTTCCATGTGATGTTTTTATCGTAACGTAGTTCTTTTTAGATTATGTGACGTTAGTATCTACACTGTATGACCCTACATCAGCGTGTAATTGGAAAGTGTCGTGACTAAATAATTCCCGAACAAACATTAGAAAGAGTAAATAAGATATTACCCCAAAAAATGTATTTATTAACTGTACAATCGTGTTTTCATAGCTGTCATAATATGACCACCCATCACGTGATAGTGATGACATGCTAAATTTGGTAAGGGGCACCATTAAAATTATAAATATTAGGGTAAAGGCATTAAAAAAGTTATTACAATTTCAACGATTTGGGGTATTTTTGTTTAAATATTTGCATCCGGTTATGTCTCTGTTTAAATGACTTTATACATATGTTTATACAAAAACGTCAACACCATTTTGTTATCTTTGGCTTTATTTTTATTTTGTTTCGCTAATTAAAATTTTCGCTACACCAAAATAGTCTCATTTATTGTAATTTCAAAATTTTCATCAGAATATGGCAATTCACAATAAATTTGATCCAAATGCCGATTAAGCAATCAGTCCAGCACCACTACGAACTGCTACAATGAATGGACCGAGCTTATAAAGTGAGAAATATAGAGTAACCAGTCATTTTTCAAAGTTATTTGTATTTATTTTGTTGTAGAAAACTACAATTTTCTCATCACCATGGAAACACGACACGCCTCTATATATACGTTTATTACGTCACTACACAACGTATATTATGCATGAAGTATATAATAGTATGACAACTCACATCGGGGTTATGAGACTTCATTTGACATGTACAGATTTGATGTTTACAAATTGTCTTCAGTGTCCCTGGAGTTAATAAGCCACAAAAAAGCAACGCATTTTCCACTTGTTAGAAAACATGTTTTTGGATAGAATAATTTATGGCTTTAATATCAATATTTACGTGGATGCACTGATTACTATACATATAAGTATTCATTACACTTTAAAATTTGAAAAAAAAAATTAAAAACATATTAGAGACATTTTCTTCCGACTAAACTCCAAACCTAAACGTAAATTCCATCGTGAAGCGTTAGCGTTATCCGACGCCGGATGGTGATGCATGCGATGTATGCAATGCGTGTACTATACACTGTTTGTAAACGTAGAGACGAACGCTTAATACAAACACGTTGCCAATGATACTCTGTAGCTAGGCAACGGATGATTGTTTTAGTGTGTCCACAGTCCCTCTATCATAGATAGATAGAGGGACTGTGGTTTCTCATATGATTATGTCTTATTTTATTTATTACGCATGCGTGATATGCGGTTTAACAATTCATTGACAGATTCGACCCCCGCCTAACGCATGTGTAGTCTAAAGCTAGCAATATTAACTATTCAATAAACATTTCTTTCTTTAACAGGATGTATTGGAGAATGATAACATAAAGCTAGACTGGTTATTCAAATTATCTTTTGCCTCCGATATTGCTAAGGTAACGATGTTTTACCAATACATAGAGTAATGCGCATGTTCACGGTCATTGCACAGCACAGCTCACGGCTGTGTGTAACATTTGAACTTGCCCCTTCTACTGATTCACCAGTAATTGACCAATTTCAAGGTTATTAGCATTTCATGCAGCGAATTAATATAACAGTAAGGAAGTACACACAGCGATATATTGGATGAGAAGTATCTTCTATATGCCAGACTAACGAGTGTAGATTCGACTTCGAATCCGATATGTAACTGTTGGAAATTCGTTAATATTACGTCAACACGTGTCAGGTGTTTAATCTGAGTTGATATTTTATATTTTAACTTTATTGCCCCAAACCCGACGAATGCAATAACTGGTGGACCGCCTAGAATGTCATCATGGGAATGCCAAAATCTAAAAAGTTTAGAGCAGAATAGCGAGCTTCTTTGTGTTGAGTCCGGTCAAATCCTGGTTTTTATTATTAGAAGACGTTTACGCGCGTAATAATTCGATATTTGGAATTTGCATTTCTTTATATGGTAGGCTGAAAATACCCCGTAAAACATGAACGAACATGCATGGACCAATCAGATTATCGGGAGTTTTATTACATACTACGGAGACATCGACAATTATTACACTGCTTTATTACACTGAACTGCTATTATACAATATGAGGTTATTATGAGGATACCTCAAAGTATGAACGAAGACAATACAGCTGAATTATTGACCGACGCGCAGCGGAGGTCGATGCGCGGCGTACTGTCTTGGTGCATACTTTGAGGTATCCTCGTAATAACCTTATTATTATACATAATTTTCTTCTAAGGATACATCATGGGAATGCCAAAATCTAAAAAGTTTAGAGCAGAATAGCGAGCTTCTTTGTGTTGAGTCCGGTCAAATCCTGGTTTTTATTATTAGAATACGTTTACGCGCGTAATAATTCGATATTTGGAATTTGCATTTCTTTATATGGTAGGCTGAAAATACCTCGTAAAATTACGGTACGCTGTAACTTATGGCGTTACGGTGACATATGTATAATAATATGATATATGTTATGATACATTAATGACTAATAAATGTTTGGTTTGCAGGGTATGGCTTATTTACATGCATCACCAATTCAATCCCATGGCAACCTGAAATCAACCAATTGTTTGATTGACAGCCGGTGGGTCTGTAAAATCACCGATTTTGATCTGATACGATTTCGTGAGGGACAAACTGAAATAAAATATACACACTATATTGAATACGCACGTAAGTATGCTGACTATTGAAACAAGCATCGTTCTCTTACTAATAGACTCAATTCTACACGTAAGTAGAATAAGTACCGTGACGAGAAACTAGTCCTTTGACGGGATGTGTTCGGTTTAATCTCTCTCAATCATGGGTGGAATAAAAAACTACATAAAGTAAATCGACATGGAGAATGTTATTATGTCTCATAATAACAAGCTATTAAAGAGATCACTGGAAGGAGGCTAACACACATCTTTTGATGTTTCACTTGTTTCTATAGCATGCAAATTCAGTAGACTCATAGAATGTAGATTTTTTGTTTTTCTAAAAATCTACACATTATTGTCGCTGTACTTTATATATTTGAACTGTGTATGTTCATTTGAATTTGGAGTGTAGTTTTCGTATTCGTATGATCGTTTTATACAGGAAGTTGGAACACCAATAATCAAAATAGTATTGTTGTCTCACTTATCACAGGTAAACTCTGGACGGCACCAGAACTTTTAAACATGGGAGACACCCCACTGAAAGGCACACAGAAGGGTGATGTATATTCATTTGGAATAATTTTACAAGAAATAGTCGTACGGGGAGGACCCTACTGTATGTTTAATATGGAACCAGAAGGTATGGTTCTATGAAGTAGTTTCCATGTTTTTTTTTATATTAAAGTTAATGTTGAAACAAATGTGAAATATTATGCGTAATATAATGAATGCAATAGTTGTGGTATTCGCACGATATACACATTAGACGTATTCTGTCAGTAGCACCAATTGCCATACGTCTAATCACTGAATTGCGCGAGGTCCTTTCTGTTCGACGATCGAAGATCTTATCGCAAAATCAATACTAAATATGAAACCTTTTCCATTAGGCTTGATCTGAGGTGCACCCACTATTCTTGAGTTTATTTCTTGAAGCCATTATGTCCCCGCCGTCGGAGTGTGAAGGCCGTTCATTTTGCTCGTGTTACCACAGTGTCTGAGCAAACGTTGATATCAAGTTAGTTAGTTCTGTTCAGGGCACATCCGAAGCAGAATTACATACATATTACGATAATATATACACGAAACACGAAACTCGAACCCACGTCCATGACAAAACTATTGCACTTTGCCAAATAATAGTGCATGTATAGATGCACCTGATATTGTATCTCTTTAATTTATAACGAATTGGATGATTGGTTTCATATAGTGTTACGTGTACAGGGAGGACTGTGCCGTGAATCAATAAGAAATATGCGTTGATTTCATGATAGAAAGAAAATCTGAACCCTTCAAAGACACCCTAGGTGTACAAACAAACACCCTATTTTCCGGTAACAAGTTACGTCAACTGTTTTAAGACAATATACACGCTATTGTTTTTTTCCAGACATAATTTCAAGAGTAAAAGACGGCACTAGTCCATATTTCAGACCAAAAGTACCCCTCGACTCTGGGGATGAGAGAATTCTAGATTTGATGAGAATATGCTGGGAGCAAATTCCAGCTTTCAGACCAAACTTCAGCACGATAGCAGACTCCTTAAAGAAAATGAATAAAGGAAGGTAAGTAGTGTCTGATTAAGGAAATGGAGTGAAATGGAAATATTTGTTTGCAGTATTGTGTTGGATATTGTATATTCAGATGATTTGTCGTAAAATAAAAGCGCTGTTTTAGTAGCACACATGATGAAATATTGAAATGCACAGACGCGCATGCGCTTTGCATTAGGTGCAGGAATCATTTTATATAGTTCATAGGTGCATCGACTTAAACTATTCCCGACCAACATAAAGGCGAAATGTAAAAGTGTGTATACCAATATGTCAGTCCGATCAAAATAGTGAAGTGTTTTTCATATTAATGTACGTCAATGCCATTTGTCGAGTTTCCGCAATAAATTATTGAATATTCACCTAAATTATGTATCATGGATCACGAGTTCAACTATGTAATTTACTAACTCAGAGTAACCATGGTAACCAATGTGTTGATTTGTGGTCACGGTTCTATGGCGTGTTATTTAGTCAACCATTTATGCGTCGTGTTTCCTTCACATTAGGCAAACTACTCTTATTGACAATATGATTAGCATGATGGAGAAATACGCCGACCACTTAGAGGATTTAGTGGAGGAAAGAACGCGCCAACTAGCTGAAGAGCAGAAGAAAACTGACGAACTATTGTACAGAATGTTGCCGAGGTATGTTGCTTACGCCCTCATGTGGCCATTCGTTGTAATATTTTTACACACGTGCACTGTCCCTGAGGTCTCACGTGTAATGTGATTTCTAATATTGAGTTTAATAATCAGTATTACCGATAGTTAGTAATAGGGTAGCATCCAAATAGATGTTGTTACCGATAGTTAATGATACATCATACATTGTCGATGGTTTATGCAATAGTTCTCTCGCCACATACTAATTCTGTTGGTTTTTTTAGTTTACAATTGTTTCGTCATAGTTTTACATCCCATGGTTGCGCTGTGGTGGTGCCTAAAGTTTAATTGCAATATACGATATTTTAGTGACAGCTGTTTTGTTTTAAAAATAATATCCGATCTGTCTTTGACTAAATTTTTATTCAAATTTCCATATTTATCGAATTTCCATATGCTTAAATAAATGTTATTGTAATTTGCCATATTTTCAAAAACTAAAATTTAACGTCTTATGTTCATTTCATCGCATAACAAGAATAACACAGTCACAATTACCGGTTTCTGCCAAGTCAATTCTAATTTGGGTATTAATGAAAATTTGCACCGCCGTTTTTGATCCTTGATTTTTGCTCCATGGGGCCTCAGTTGTACAGCCTGTACCTAATGTGTCACTTCCGATGAAAGAATCGACTAAGGAAAGAAAAGAAAAAGAAACTATTTGAAAAATAAAATGCATATAATCCTGGAAGGTGTAGTCGAAATACTCGTCGGCGCTTTGGTAAATGTGTTATTGTCCGTTCAGATATACGTCCTGTTTCCTATATAGAAAATATAGATATGTCTCAATATTGTGACGTGTTTTGTGTTATAGTTTATAAGTGATAATTATTCTGAGTGATAATTGCAAATGTGACGTGGATCGGCTTCTTTCAACCCACAATGACGTCACCACATCTAATACATGTCTCACCAATACACAGGAGCGTGGCCGAACAATTAAAACAAGGTCGTGTGGTGGAACCTGAAAACTTTGCCAAGGTAACAATATTTTTCAGCGACATAGTTGGTTTTACGCAGCTAGCTGGTGATAGCTCCCCCATGCAGGTGAGTCAAAGTATGACATTTGATATGACGTTTGTCTTTAGAGAATCACAATCCATTTCAACGTATCATTGAATAAATACTAGTGTACGAACACGATGTGTTATATAATTGGTCAAAGTGTTTATTCTAGCACATTTGTTAACGTTCAGGCAAATATTCAATATAGTATTTAGAAAATTTGTTGTAACCATGAATTTAAAAAAAAAAGCTATTTCTATAATAATGGTTTTGGATTTTGTATGTTTACTTTTAACAATACACACATTACTGTTTAGAGCTCAGTGCCTACTCCAACCGTAGCACACCCATCCACGCAAACGACTGGCGCCATCCATGGTAGTGACATTTACCGGTCCAAGTACTGTCGACATAACTTAGGTGAAAACCATTTTGATTTCAAGTAACTTGGCTAAAAATGAGGTTATGTGGGTGGCAACACGAATGCAATATTCATCCTCATAAATTGGAGAAATTCGACCTAATGACTGTACATGAAACAACTTTTAAAACCTCGACTGATTGCAGTCGTTGGCGGCGTGATTGATGTGAATCAGACTCTACATCCAACGATAGCGATAATCTGCACTCAAATCTGTGGGGTTACGCGTTTTTACGTTGTATTATTCAGTATTTTGAAAGTACAGAATATTACTTAAAAACATAACATGATGCCACGGAAACGTTACTAAACACAACAATTACTACGTCCGCGTGGAACGTTTAGCGTGAGAAATGCGTAAATACAACCAGCAAAGTAATTTATGTTTAAATTTATAAATTGTTAATATTATCACATTTGTTTTGATTATGCGTGTCAATGTTTTCGTAAAAAAGAAATGAAAAAATCACAATAGATTAGCACAAAAAAACAACTACATTTTACTTGGACGAGTAGTATTTTTGGTATATAAATCTTGAAAAATTTAGGTCAACCAGCCATTACAGTTATGTCCTTTGTTTTTCTTTAAATGGCACCATATCCGGAACACTGGATAGTGTTAGGGTAGGCAATCACAGGGACATGTTTGCATGGTAGTATTTAACACGTGACTAAGTTCTATGGTACTCTGAACAGTCAAGGAGCCAGGGGTCGGAGGGGTCAAAGCTCAATAACCAATACAATTGCGATTCTACCGTTAAAAAACGTTTAAAAATAAAATATCGAATATTCAGTACCTTCATAAAATACGATGCTACAAGTACGTTCACAAGATGTTAGCATATGCTCACATATGCTCGTTTTTTCGTCATAATTTTAAAATAAATTTCCCGTTCATAATTCCAAATGTTCACAAAAAATTACGTGAATACATATTAATACAGACAAAGCACAACATTTGCCAAAATATGACATAATGAGTCTATCGTGAATTCCTGTTCACCATGTCTCCGAAACTACCATGCATCAACACGGGTTGTCGTTTGAGATGTGTTCGCCATTAGGGGCGGATACATGATGATCGGTCATGGAGGAGGGGCACCTTTACAATTACTTAATGTTGGCATCGCCTAATATACATGTATAGTAGTAACGACGGGTTTAGTGTTACACGCCTGTTATGAACCTCTAAATTCGCTGTTGTTTATATGTGCGTAGTATTTAGTTACAGTGCTTGAATCATATTGCTATTAGGTTATTTCACAGATATAACCCTAAAACCACTTTCTGTGATATTAAATAGTAAAATATAGAAAAAAAACACGATCAAATTGTATATTGTTTGCCTCAGTTGTTTATGTTGAGTTCACCATTTCCGGCGATTGTCATATTTACAAATTACTTCGGCATTCAAAAAACCTGTATTGACTGTAGACAATGTGTATAACCAGTTAAATACACATTAAATGGTGAACTTTGATCTCTCCAAATTATGATTCAGCTACTGAAGTAACTAGGAATCACATTTCTGAAAAATACATTAATGGAGTGTGGGTTTAAGATAAACATACATGTTTACATTCACATGATATAATTTTTTGTTTCTTATACACAGGTGGTCGACGTTTTAAATGATCTTTACACATGTTTTGACACAATACTTGAAAACTATGACGTGTACAAGGTAAGCAGTACTGCTCCTGGTGATACTGAATAAACGACAGTATTTACTGTACCGTTGATGGCGTGGTATTTATTTACTCTATAAAATAGGCCAAATGCCGCTATATTAACGCATGTGATCTCGAACGTTGCTTATAACAAACAACAATATGAATGCAGAAGAGACATGCGAATATAAGTTCTATTCGTACGGCCTGTTCTGATTCTCTACTACTAATATTACATAGATGTCTGTTCATATTTCCAATCATTGTGTAGGTGGAGACTATCGGGGATGCATACATGGTTGTTAGTGGACTACCCATTAGAAATAGCAACAAACATGCCGGTGAAATATGTACTATGGCACTAGATCTACTGAGCTCAATGCGGACATTCAAAATAAGACACAAGTCAGACATGCAGCTACAACTGAGAATAGGAATACACACAGGTAATACAATGCCTTGATGATTACAAGTATATTTGACTCACAGTGTATAAGAGCGTTCTATTTTAGGGCTCATACCACTAATTGAATTTCCATAGACGACAATGTTAACATATAACGAGATTGCTATATGAAAATGCCGAAGAAAGTTGAAAATATGGCTCAAAAATGGGAAATCAATATGCCAGTAATCAACCGTATGAAAAAAACTAACATGTTGGCCAGCTCAAACTCTTGCAAATCTTAGGTAAACAAGACACACCTACTGTATTTGGATTGCACCAAGAGAAATCAATGGAAAAACACCAAGATTAGAAGATCCAAATACACACAGAATAAACCCACAGGTACACAGCCGCTAAGTAGTAAACAAAAGACCACATGTTGGTCTCACCTCTGACCCAAGTGATTACGCCCTCAAACAGGGAGCACCTGAGAAAAAAAATATTAAAAAATGTCATTTGTACTTGCTAGGCATTTAAATTGCCATTGGTTAATTAGTGGCATGAGACCTTTTAGAGAATAAGAAGGTTTAATAAAGTTCTTGTTGATCTTATATATGATGGAATATCATTAGACGAGTAATTTCCCATGCAAAA